TCCGCTGCGTATAATACTACTGGACATAATAGATATCCGAGGAGCCTTGAGGCTACCAAGCACCTGGCTATCATTATCCTCTGTCCAAAGATACTCTATATATTTTCCACTATTATCTGCTCCCTGCAGTGGGGTGCTCCGTTTTAGCATGGGAAGAACTTGTCAAATAAAAAAAGATGGACTCCCAGTGAACCCAGGGTCTTTGGGTTGTAACTGTAACTTTTCCCCTACTCCTTATCCATCTGTAGCGGTTCTTGCTAGCTTTTTCCTGCGCCTTCTAAATGCTGCTTGGTTAAAAAAGAAACACAACTCAAAATATTTTCTGCTACGTCTCCTAACAGTGCAATCCTATCCATGCCATCTTGTTTAATGGGCCTTATTCCCAGGTATGTTCCTGAACCCATACATTTTGCAATGGACACTTTTGCTACAGTTTTTAGAAAGCTATTGTGGAAAGCATGTCATTTGAGTAAAATCGGGGGAGTCAAGGAATGGAATTTGTAGATAACATTAAGAACCTCCAATCTTAATTTAATCATGGCATTGGATGATCCAGCCTGGTCAGTTTAGAGCACTGGTCTTCAACTGCTGGTTCACGGTGGGTTGCAACAGGCACACTACCACCATACAAATATATGGTAAAAAAACTAAGAAATGGGTCCTCAAATGCATGTCTGGCTTAAAAGTGGGTCCTGAGTCTCAAAAGTTTGAAGATACCTGGTCTAGATGCACCAGTTCTTTGAGGGAGCTATTTCAAGACTTTGTTTCAACCTTAAACAACAGGTTTTCAGTTACTCAAGGAAGTACTGAACAATTTTGGGTTGCTTAAAATTACATGAGCCATTTTGACTCAGGCATTACAAACAAAAAGGAAGGGCACAGAACAACTTGGGTCAAAGGTCAAACATGGAAAATTACTGCCCTACCAGTGAACATTGCAGAAAATGCGCAAGCAAGTGAGCACAGGATCCTTGGAATGGGCAATTCTCCAAGGGTTATGTTACACCCTGGACTCTCTGGTAATAAGTGTAGAAAGCACAAAATGAACTACAAAGACTTGTCTTTTAGCCTTAAGGCTAGAGAAACAGTCAGAGAGTTGCCCCATAGCAGCTCATATTATAAATGGGGGAACATTCTGTCCTCCTTTACGAAGTCTCAAAGAAATTCTCAGCTCAAGGAAGGGCAAATTCAGCTCCCAACAAAAAAACCTGCTTAAGTCGAGGCCATGTATTAGAGAGCCAGCTTTTATAGAAGGTCCTGAATCATAATCTCACTACTTCAGTAATAATCAGACGCATGATAACAACTAATATATGAAGCAAAAAGTTTGCTAGTAAGGCCAAAGTCAGGCTGAGCAAACCATGCTCTTAAACAGGAAAGGTAAAGCTCCCCCTGGATATAGACCAAGCAACAGTTCCCCCTTCCATGCTCTGTTCTGCTATTTTTCCATTCCATGCAGGAGGTCTCAGGTCCAATTTGGAAGTGGTCACAGGTGATGTCATTTTAGTTTTCTTTTAGGGCCACAGAGATGGTTCTTCTCTATAGCAGCTCACCATTTGTGGCATGTTGTCAGTGGAGGGTATGTGTGCTGTGTCCTGTTTGTGTAGTGGTGGTTACACGTGTCCTTCTTCTGACAGGAAATGCTCTATAGGCAGGGGGGGGGATGACAAAAAATGGGGGGTTGAGGCAGGTCAGTTTCAGGGGAGTAGAAAATGTCCCTATTTTCATCTGAGGAATGTTGGAGGGTATGAGTAATAACACTTACGGTTCCTTAGAATACGTATCATCAAGAAAACCTTGGACTACTATAATGATCTGTCTCCTCAACTACACTGGAAAACAGCTTTAAGTTCAGCAACTTAAATCAAGTGTCCATATTTTCAAATGTGGTATTTTAACACCCAACATTTTTTGAACAGGCTATAAATAAATGATGGTATCATTGAAATGTTTTGGTTCTACCAAATGTCTGAAAGCTCTGAGTGCAAGCTTGAATTTGTGAGGGGTTTACAATAGCAGCTGCTGTGCCCTTGTGAAAAATTAGCTGCTTTATTTAGGTGCCTTAAAGAGAGAAGAGGGTTTCCCCCCCCTAACAATGGTTAGAAATGTTCAGTGTGCAAACTCCCCACCCTTAACCCACTTGCTAAAAATGTGTAGAACCACCTCTTTATATCAATGAATTAGCAATCAGTCAGACTTGAGCAAAAAATTATTTGATTCCTGCTTAATATGTTAAGCACATTCACATGCCAGCTTTGAAGGTCTCTTTGTTGAAGATCTTACGGAGCTGCATATTTGACAAATCACAGAAAGCCCTGTTAGAATGGCCCTATTCAGGCATTCATAATAGGGCTTAAATAAATGCAGAAGTGTTCTAGCTCTGCCCTGCCACCTTCTGAATCCTCAAAGGCAACTCTGAGTGGAGAAGCCACCTGTACCTATGGAAGCTTGCGTGCATTTTTGAAACCCTGGAAAATCATGGTTCCAAAATCTATGGAACCTTTCCCAGGTACAATAGGCTTCCTCAGTGCAACTCTGGAACACAAAGATGACAATGGAACTAGTGTGGTTGTGTGTGTTTGCCCTTCCTGAACATGGCTGGTATGATTCAGAAAATAACATCCAGAGTAATGAGTTCTAATAACACAGTCAAGTTAACAGGGCTGCATCCAAAGGATAGCCAGGTTGCTCCTACAGAAGATTTGTCAGGACTCCAAGACCAGCAGTGGGCCAAGCCCAAAGGAACAAGCAGGAATGGGGAAAGAATGCATTTCTCTGGGGCCCAGAGATCTATTGGAATGGTCTCCCTTGGGAGGATTTTAAACAGAGGTTGGATGGCCATCTGTCATGGATGCTTTAGCTGAGATTCCTGCATTGCAGGGGGTTGGACTAGATGACCCTTGGAGTCCCTTCCAACTCTACAATTCTATGATGGCCCAGCCCAGGTTGTAGTCCCATTACCATGAGGGAGAAAACGATGCTAAATTTTAATCATACTTGGAGAATTTTGCTCAGGAGGGGTATGAGAGCAGAGCGAGCAGAATTCTGAACAGTGAGTTGCTGGTCCAAGTCCTGCCCACATTATGCATACATTAGAGAGAGAAAATACACAAAAATGCATTACTGTAGGTGAAAATGCTTGTGAAAACGTCTATATTAGGCAAACATGGATGCCAAAATGTGTTTTCCAGAGACATTTGCACTAAAGTTCTAACAAATGTTCATCTGGAAGCGCCATGTTTCTGATGCAGATTTTGCTGGCGTCATCACTGACATCTGATAATTTTTATTTTTATTTGCTGTTCTTCTACTTACTGCATAAGGATAAAAAGAGTTTATGGCAGGGAAATTTTGTGTGTGCGCACATGTGAAGCTTTACTTGCTGAGCTACTGAAGGCACAGAAAGAAGTGAAGCTTCACTTGTCAATATTGTAGCATTCCAAGCTTCAGAAACGGTTCCCTGTTCCTCGATTGCCTCATTTTAAAAAATGGCTACTCATTGCTCCTCTCCTGCTTGTGGGTTGTTGTTTTTCCCAAGAAGCATTTTCCAGAAGAGCTCCTTTTGTTTTTTCCCTTCCACACCATTGTTAATCTTGCCATACTGTTTAAGGCAACCTATATTATATACTGTACAATTTAAAAAACATATTTGAGGATAATTTCAGCAGTGTTGGCTATTAGTGACCTCTTTAATGTCCAAAGAGCACCTAGAGGAATGTGCTGAGTTACTATGTTTTCCTACTACAATCTATTCTTGTGGCATTTCTTCTAATGGTATAATCCAGCCTCATTTCATTTGGGACTTTAGGCATGCTAGACAATAGGTTTTCAGAGGAATGTTGCCTGAATCACAGGATTCAGGTGCATAGGATTGCAGCAGAATTCCCCAAAACTTCTCACACCTCCAACAACCACCAAAAAAGGCTGGTCTATACCCACATCCCCAGACAGATCCTTCTTTCTGTGTTGTGGACTATGCATTTGTTGTTGGGAGATACTCATTTGTGAGCACTTGGATAGGGACAAGGTTGGACGACCAATATAAGTGTGACTGGGTGAGATACTGAGGGGCCCAATAACCCAATGCTGGTGTCTGGGGTTTGATCTAGACTGTAGCAATTTGTTACACAGTTCATGAAAATAAATCCCAGGCATAAACTCTGATTAAAACCCTGGAATTTGGTTCATCTGTGCTATATGAAAACCTAGATGTAGGCTGGGAGAGATGGCAAAAGAGGCATATGCTGTACTGACAAACATATCTTTGTAACTTCTTGTCTAGGCGTCTTACTGTTACCAATATGGCGGGATACAAGTTGATTCACTTTCTCCCTAAACTGTCAACTAGTCCAGCGTATGGGTGTATTGGAAGCCTAACTAATTGGCTTCTTATATATGTAAGCTCTTCAGAGCAGGGACCTATGTTCTTGCATTCTATAAAGCACCAGGAACAGAGATACAGTGATAGTACTTATTTAATTTGCGGGTATTTCAACAGCAAGCTTTTCGTTTAGGAATTCTGAATGTCAGACAATTTTGCCTTCACTGTATCTCGCTAGGCAATGTCATTGCAACCAGGCAATCTAATGATAAGCCAAGGTTTGTGCAATCAGTAAAGGAAAACTTTCCCTTTATAATATGGAAAAGAGCCTGCAAGCACAGATTTGATGAAACAAATACTCTGAAATGGAAAGTAACAAGTCTGTCCCTGTTCCCTGGATCAGTCTTGTTGTGTTGCAACCTAGTTTATGATTGATTTGACAGCACCCAGCAGTGCAACGGACAGGCTCTAATGGGAACACTTACAGGTTTGGGAGAGCCTACAGAGATGTGGAAGTATTAAGCATTTATTTCTATTTAGTCTGGGGGAGTTTTATTTTTCATCTCATTTGGAACCTATAACCAGCTGGGATTAAAAGATGGCTGGTTCCTGAGGACTTCACATGTGATGCAGAATCTCCCTCTAGGGTGAAAAGAAAAAGCCATACGAGGGTTTTTCTCTCAGCTGTTTTAATTCTCTTCAAGCTCCCACTCAACATACGAGCTCTTAGCTCAAAGGAGTTTGTTTGCTTTTTTAAAAAAGAAATATATAATTGGAATTTATTTTTTAGTTTTAAAGGCAAAACAGCCAAAATATTTTAGAACAGGAAAAATGAAAGATGAATTTATACGTACTGTACTTATTATCAACCAAATAATAAACAGAGACCATATTATAGCTTCAGAATATCTCCTAGAGTTTGCTATAGGTGCAGATCCCATTAGGTATTCCTCAATTACATTTTGGAGAAATAAAAAGCTCACATACTATGCTCTATCTAACAGTATATGGGAGTTCTGTGATGAATGGCATCCTCCAGTGTTTCCTCTCTCCAATCCTCATTTCTCCCCCCCCCCCATAAAAGTTTTATTTAATGTTTTTAGGAGCACAGTTCCTAATTTACTTCTGGCTTGATTCAGATTTAGATGTGGAGGCTCTCAGTGAAGAAAGTCTACGCCTCTTAGCTATTTGCTCTTGCCGTTTTTCCTTTGCCTCCTTCATTTTTTTAGCCAGAAGCTTGTTCTTTTGGGTACCCTGCTTCTTTAGAGCAATACTCCTGCTTTAGGACATATGCCTGCTCTGTGGTAGGACCCTGGGAGTTACCAAGTGCTGAATCTTGGGTGCTTTGGTCCTGGGCTTCTTGCCTTCCTTGTTCAATGGTTTTCTCACAACATACTGATGGACGTAGTCTTCTTTGGAGAGATTGGACAACTTTTGGATTTTGCTAGCCCTCTTGGAACCAAGCCGGCGAGGCAGAGTGGTGTCAGTCAGTTCAGGAATATCTTCCTCACCTTTCTTTACAATGACCAAATTCAAGACGCTTAAATTGGCATCAACAATGCAACCCCAAACAGATTTGTGTTTCCTTTCTCCAGTTCTTCTAGTGTGGCCTTTACTGAGAAGCTGGCGGACACGTCCGTGAGTCAGGACCCCCTGCTTCATGGGGAAGCCTCGTTTGTTATTGCCTCCACTGATTGTGGACAACTTCCACTCCTCACCAAGAGCATCCAGAGACTTATGTGGTCATGCACTTCTTGCAGAAGGTGCGCAGCTTGCACTCATCGTCTACTTCAAATAGTTTCTGGCAGCCGGTGGCTGGGAAGATGATGTTCAGCTTCATGGCACTGGCACAGCTCACCTTGGATCTGCCACGGGAAAGAACTCCAATCCTCATTTCAAAGTTAATTCATTCAATAGGAGAACCAATAAAATACCTTTCAAACTTTCTGCTTGAACTTGGGTATCTATAGAAAGAACCTCAGAGGCTGTTATCTGACACTTACTTATCTAGGAGTAAAACCCATTAACTTAAATTGGACTGCCTTCTACATAAACGTTTGTAGGACTGGGCTGCATTTCTGAAACTGCTGCATGGATCTATAGGGGCCCAACCTCCATCCAAGCAAAGGCTAAGGAAGAGACAGATATGCAAGCATTCCTGCAAATAAGACTCATTCAGCTCAATGGGATTTACCTATAACATAAAAAGATCCACCATCTGATCTGATCCACCATCCTGTTTCCCACAGAGGCAGTCCAGATGCCTCCAATTGTATGGAAAAGCTGCATTGGATTTTGCTGGAAAAGACATGCCCCAAAGAGTTGCATGTTCCTAGTCTCTAGGAACTCTTTCCAGATTAACATTACTAAGGAAGGCTTAAGCATCTTTCACATAAATACTCTGTGCTGCAAACGGTCCTTAGGATGTTCATGTGATATTTCTCCATCCAGAAAGAAAGTACCTTTCCAGCAACGTATCCACCATTTATCCCCCTGAAAATTCACAGAAGAACTCGAGGGTTCCTTGTGACACATGAAAACCACAGCTATGGTGAAATCCATGCATTCCTTGGCTCTTCGACATCATTTCTCAGGCAGTAAACATCCCAGGCAGTGGTGCCACTGAGGTGGGACTTTGGGGGCAGAAGCAGTGGACACTGGTCCATTAGAACAAATGGGGTGCTTCCCCACCAAGCTCCAGGAGGCAGCACCCTGTGCAAGGCCAAGATTTGGCACCCACCCACCTGCCTCTTACCTTCTATTCTGCTCAATTCACTACATCATAGCTGTGATGTCCTGTGGCACCTCCTATTCTTTTTTCCCAGTGTGGCAGAATTGGGCACAATGCCCTAAATCCACCTCTGCAAGCTCTGACCTCAGGCAGGACCCACCTGCCTGTTTCCTTACTTGCATCCAGTCCATGGGGTGGCCCTGGCAGTGAGCCTTAGTCTCAGTGCTGCCTTTGTAGAATACAACATAGAGGACAATAGAGACAGAACCAGAATCAGTTGGTGTTGCCCATCGTTGACTCTGGTTCCACCTGCTGTTGTTCTTCCTGCCTTCTGCCCTATCAATCCCAGTGGAAACCATCCACTACTGGGCAGAAATCTGGGGTTCCACTCAACTGAATAAGCAGAAGCAATCCCAAAAATGAGCAAGGCAAAGCCCGTTTACTACAAATTTGAAGTGAATGAACCCATTTGAACCCATTAAAATCTGAGACCATTAGGTCCAGAGTCTACAATTACCCAAGTGCACCACCGATCTCAGAGGAGACAAGGAGCAAGAGGGAATGCCTAGGTTTACCATCCACACAGGTATGGCTAACCATGCACTTTTAAGTTATAACTTGAATGGAAAAGGCAATTGGAATAGTTCAAAACAAGAAGCAATAAAATAGTTTTCACACTGACTGCTTGAACTGTGGAATCTTGACTGTGGAAAAAGGTACATGCTTCATTGTTCTGAAGTGCAGAAACCAGAAATGTGACAAGATCAGGAGTTCATGTGCTAACCCAACATAACTTGGCATTTCCTTGGCGCTGTCAGATAAAGAATCAGTGTTTCACGAACCACAGCTGCTTGCATGTTCCTGATATATTGGGGTTGGTTTTCAGTCACTCCATTCAAGTGAAACCTTTCCGGACAGCATTCAAGTTTCTCAGCACAGCACAGCAAAGATCTTTGTAAAATGTTAACCATCTCGACCATAAAGAAAAGATCCTGTGTTGTGGTTTTGTTTGTGTGCTTTTTAATGCTAGCTCTGAGGCCTCCCCCCCCCCCCCCAAGTCTAACACACACATGTAGAATAACAAGCTTATCTCCTGGTAAATTATCAAACCCCAGACTGTAAATCTAGCCCCCTGATTTCTAGATGAGCTCCCAAATGTGAACTAACTAGCAAAACATTTTGCTATTATCTTTTACTAACTTCGACTAGCCTGTTTCTGTGCCAACATCCTGACAAACAGAAATTTAGCCGATGATCTTTTAGTGACATGTGATGTGGGAAATTTCACCAGTTAAATGTCTTTCTGTTGATTTGTTGCTAAAGATCTAAGGGAAGGGACTATAAAATTATGTGTGCTAAAGCTGAAATGAGAGATACTGAACATTGTGTCCAATTGGAAACTACCCCCTCTCAGCTAAAAAAAAAACCCCAGTGTGATTAGCGTGCTGAAGAGACCTGGGAGACCTGGGTTCAATTCACACTCAGCCACAAAGCTCATTGGGAGACCTTGGGCCAGTTGCTCACTCTCAGCCTACTCTACCTCACAGGCTTGTTATTAGGATAAAATGTAGAGGAGGAGAACTGTATATACCACCTTGAGCTCCTTGGAGGAAAAATGGAATAGAAATGTAATCAATAACTACATAGATAAATAGAAGCAGTGTGTGTTAACTCAGTGCTTAAGGAACTGTATTCTGTGCATGCTTTGATGCAATCTTTGGGAAATGCTTCTTTAACAACTGAGCCCTTATACCAACACCAACCTACTGGATTCAGTCCTGATTCAAAATTCAACCAAAAAACTATTATGACTGTGCGGCTTTCATTCCCTTCTTTCTGTGCAGATGAGCTCAGAGTGGGTGACAATTCTGATCCACACCATGACAGGGCAACGGGTTAAAGACACACACACCCCCCCTCCAAATTCTGTGCCGCCATTCCAACCTATGGTGGCTAATTATTATTATTAAATTAAGCATGCTGGGGCAAACAAGTTTGGCTCCATGAGTAACCTTTGATCATGGGAATTGCAACGTCTGGGGAGCTGTGCTTCCCTTGGCCCCTTTCCAAAGAACCATAAAACAGCCAAGTCCCCCACCACCACCCAAAAAAAGAACCATAAAACAACCATATCTGCACCATACATTTAAAGCACTATGATATCACTCTTAACAGTCATGGCTTCCCTCAGGAATCCTGGGAACTGTAGTGTGTTGAGGGTGCTGACAGTTATAAGGAAGCCCCCTATGCCCCTCACAGAGCTACAATTCCCAGAATGACTTATCAGGCCATCTTCCCAGAGGACTCTGGGAATTGCAGCTCTAGGAGTCCCTGAAGAACTTTCAGCACCCTTAATAAACTACAGTCCCTGGGTTTCTTTGGGAGGGGCGAGCTATGGCAAAGTCACTGCCTGGTTGGTGCCTGCTGGTGTACATAAAAGGAACAGGTACAGTGGTACCTCGCAAGACGAATGCCTCGCAAGACGAAAAACTCGCAAGACGAAAGAGTTTTTCGTTTTTTGAGTAGCTTCACAAGACGAATTTCCCTACTGGCTTGCTTCGCAAGACGAAAAACGAAAACGTCTTGCAAGTTTGTTTTGATTGCAATGATTTTCAATGCATTCCTATGGGAAACAGTGCTTCGCAAGACGAAAAATTCGCAAGACGAAAAAACTCGCAGAACGAATTAATTTTGTCTTGCGAGGCACCACTGTATAATAGTGCTTTAAATGTATGGTGTGGATGTGGCCTGCATCGCTATTGCCTCATAGTGAAAGGGATATGGATAGCCTTGCACCAAGGGATAGCCTCATTGCAAGGAGGGGATTCCATATCCTAATACTGACAGTTTCCCAGACCACTGGCAGAGATAAGGCAAATAAAATAGATAAAGTTAAAAGAGAAAATGGAAAAAGAAAAGAAAAGGGAAGTTCTAAGTGGCTGGCATTTCCAACTCCACAAAATAGGTACTTGCAGTCCTATTGCAGGAATGGGGAGCATGGGGCACCCAAATTTTGTTGGACTACATCTCAGTTGGTTAGAGCATGGTGCTGATAACGCCAAGGTTGCAGGTTCGATCCCAGTTTGGGACAGCTGCAGGTTCCTACATTGCAGGGGGTTGGACTAGATGATCCTCAGCATCCCTTCCAACTCTACAGTTCTTTGATTCTGTTATCCCTGACCACAAGCTATGGAGGCTGCAATCTGTTTGGACTGTTTGGAGGGTCACAAATTCCCTATATAGCCCTTGCAGAACCACAAACATGGACCAGTGTTTTCAACAATAATCTTGATTGCTTTGGGCAGGGCTGAGTAGGGGGAGGGGGCAGAGGAAAAACTGTACTTCCTTAGTAAATCAACTCTATAGTTTGGATGCTGTGGGAACAGGATTTCCTACAAAGGGAGGCAATGATTTGGAGAATATTATCTGGATTCCTCACAACAAATGACAAGGCATTTCCTGAGCACAATCTATATATACATATATGAGTAGATTTGACAGTATAAAATGCTGGACTGCCTCTCTTTGTGCAAACTTCCTGTACGTATCACTGCAGAATCTACATGCCTGCAGACTCAGGGTGCCAATCAAATTTGACAACAAACTATCACTTACGAAGTAGATATCCAACTGTGACAGGAACACTTCCCTCACAGTGTCAGTAGTAAAGCAACACTTAAATGCTAGTGCTAACATACTTTGTGAAAACAATTTTTGAGCAATATGGGCTCATACTCTCTAATTGCTTTTTGTATTTGCTTTCATTTAAAGATAATGTGCAGCTCAGTAAGAACTAGCGTGTCTCCCTTCTTCTGAAACGATTCACTCTGCATGGTGCAGAGGTCAAATCTTGCATATTCTCATTCACTGGTTCAGAACTATGGCAAAACCATTTTGATGAACTCTGACCATGTTTTGATTGGTCCCATAAGAAGTTGCCTTATATAAAGCCTTCATACTGAGTATGGTCACCTACAGGTCACCATTTATGACAAACTAATAGTCTAGCTCGTGCAAAATGGTAGAATGCATGCTAGGTAACATCTAACAGCAGTGAACAGGTCAATATAGAGAAATCAGGGCTGTTGATGTAGAAATGTGGCCCATGCAGTGCAATCAAAGCTACTTTACCCAGAATTAAGTCCTACTTCCTAAAATGTGCTTACAGAATTGCAACATTAATGTGAAATCTAAGCATGGTTATTCAGAACAGGACTGACCTCCATGTGGTATGCATAAGATTGCACCCTTTATCTACTCCTTGATTCTTGATGCTAGGGTAAGTCCCATTTGGACTTATGTTGCACAGATGAAATTTATTTTTTGTAAAATCTGGTTTTATAACTGTTGTAAAACAGATAGTTGAAAGCCAGAAAACACTTGTGCTGTTGGTTCCACTTGCAAGAAGGGTAGAGTCCAATTATGCTATTTATCATGTCTACAGCATCTTTCAGTGTATAGACTGGGATTTTTTTATTCCATTTACTCTCACAATCCTGAGACACAGGTTAAGCTGAGAGAGCAATTTCTTCAAGGCCACTCAGCCAACAAGCTTCATGGATGAGTGGGGATTTATTTTTCAACTTAATTTAGCAGCATTTGTGTCCAACAATGTTCCTTTCCTTTAACCCTGCCTGTCAGTTAAGAGCCCTTGAAGTATTGGCAAGAGTCATGGGCTTCACTCCTATGAACACAGTTGGCCTTAGTTTTGAGTAAACATGCATAGTATCAAGGCTGCAATTCTATGTATACACTTACGGAGTCTTACTGAACACAGTGGAACTTTTATTTGAGTAAACATGGATAGGATGTGGCTGCATTCTTCAACTAGTTTTCTAAGGGACAAGTCTCAGTGAACTCACTAGAACTTACTTCTGGGAAATATGCATAGGATCAGGCAATAGTATAGTGAACATCACCTCAAGAATATTTTTGTTGTTGTTGGCATCCATCTGTTTTGAGAGACAATGGAGTGCGCGGGGGGGGGGGGAGGCAAACTGCTGGAGAATTACAGCACCTGTGGCTGCAGAGACCAGTCATTCAAAACTGCTGCCTCCCACATTGTTTTTGCTATGTTAAAGGTAAAGGGACCCCTGACCGTTAGGTCCAGTCACAGACGACTCTGGGGTTGTGGCGCTAATCTTGATTTATTGGCCGAGGGAGCCGGCGTATAGCTTCCTGGTTATGTGGCCAGCATGACTAAGCTGCTTCTGGCAAACCAGAGCAGCGCACGGAAATGCCATTTACCTTCCCGTCCGAGTGGTACCTGTTTATCTACTTGCACTTGGAGCAGGGACCAAGCAACAGGAGCTCATCCTGTCACGGGGATTTGAACCGCCGACCTTCTGATCGGCAAGCCCTAGGCTCTGTGGTTTAACCCACAGCGCCACCTTTTGCTGTGTTAGCAGCACCGAAATGACCTCTCTCTGGAGCGCAAGACTGGGCAGTGTGTTATGAGATCCTGAGCTGCCCAGACCCCCCTCTTGGCCTTACTTGGTCCAGAGGAAAGCAGAGCAATACATTTGGCACCATCTGGGCCACCGGAGTTGCTGGAAAGGGGCATACAAGGTGCCATGGGTGTAGCCAGGTTTTATGTTGGGGAGATGCTTTCTGTTGGGTGGCAGAAGCTCAGTTAAGTATTTTTATTGATTTACTTGATTTAGGGAGGGCAGCTCCCCCCCCCACTATGCCAATGCAAGGTGCCATCCAACCATCTTAGGGACTCCAGTCCGGATTTCTGCAGGGTTTACTCCTTAGTCTTTTCTTCTCCCAAAGATGTCCCACAAAGCCACAGGTGCGGATTTTTCTTCGGGATTTACTCCTGAAGCATTTCTCATAGCTGCAAGCCAGTGGAGATTCAGGATTAGAGTTTTCATTCTCCTATATTACTACTATTATTATTAGATGGGTCACCTTCCCAGGTTGAACTTCCCCCTACAGCATGTCTAGTAACCACCTTCTTGACCATTTGATGGTCTATTGGTTTCACCCACTCACTGGGAAACACATAAAGCATGGGTAGATCCTTCAGGACCATGTATTTAGCCTCTTAAAACTGACTAGATACCCCAGCTAATGTTGAAAACAAAACAAAACAGCTTCTTATGGCAGCTGCTTTAAACAGCTGGATGAGCCAAGCAGCAATCCAACAGGTGTAGTTTAGGTTAACTAGAAACGAAGAGAGGTGTAGTTTAGGTTAACTAGAAATGAAGACCTGCTGACTTGTCATGCAGCTGCTAAAGCTATATAGCGCTTTGGGGGGGACGGGACGACGGAGAGGGGAAGAGAGAGAAGGCAGCCTAGCAGCCAAAATCTTTGTGACTTGTGCTTGGTACCATCTCAAGATGTTGCACACAGCTTACAATTTATTTAACCCATTATCCCAAGAGTGCTTCTAGTAGGGAAGGCAAGCTGTATACAGCTGCAATTCTGGGCACACTTAGGAATAAACGACCATGGACGTGCCTTACCGAGGAGTAAATGGGTCTTACACCTGAGTAAGCATTACTCAGGATTAGGTGGCGAAAACATAAAGAACACACCATGCACATCACCACCCCAGCGATCTCCAAGCTGCACCTTTCCGGGAGACACACGAATTTCCATTTTTCTCGCCAGAAAAGCGCTTGGTAGAACCGCGAAAACAAAGCAATCGGACGAATTAGGCAATTCAGCACGTTCTCTGTCTACTTCATGCCGATGCAAAGCGAGCCTGGGATTCCCCCTTCTGCCGGTGCCTGTGACAAAAAAATAAAATAAAACGTGAGGAAACACACACATCTCGCTTCTCCCCCCCCCCCCGCCCGGCTGTTCCTTTCCATTTCTCCTCCCAAATCCACGCGCGCACCCCGCTCCCCTCTCTGTCTGCAAAAGCAAGCTGCAAAAGAGCCCGAGAGGAGCGTGGCCGCAGCCGAGGTCGAGAGACACAGGGCGGTTGTTTCCTCAGCCTCACACAGCCGATGTCGAGCTGCCCTCTTCCGCCGGACTGCTTTCCCATGCTCGAGCAGCAGGAGGCGCTGGCGGGCCCCTCTCCGCTGGGCTATGGGCTCCCGGCCGAAATGAGTCTCTCATTGCCTCTGCCGAAGCGCTGAGAACCGGAGGGTTGGACGCGCGCGCTCGGCTCCTCCCTTCGCCACTCGCCGATCGGCAAAGTAACTCTCGTGGACTAAGTGCAGCCGCCGACGCCAAGTGCAGGCGCGCCTGGCTGGGAATTGCCCCTGGAAGGCGGGGAGGGAGCACTCCGGCGCAGACGCCGCCGAGAAGAAAGGCGACCCTGTTGCTGTTCCGGGCTCTCCGTCGCCCCCCCCCGCCCCCGCCCCCATTTCATCCAGGCAACAGGAGGATCCGGACTGGCCAGGAAGACGAGCTTTCCTCGCGGCTTCGGGAGAGAGCGCCCGAGTTGAGTGCGAGACTCCTCGCAAAAGTTCTCCAAAGTCAGCATGGCCCCGGCGGTTGGAGCCGTCGGCTTGTTGGCGGCGCTCGCCTCCCTCGTCGCCCCCTCGGCTGCCCTGCTTGGAGTGGCCCGTGGGCAGTTCTCGGCAGGTAAGCGGCTACCTCGCGGGAAGGCGTCCCGTTTCTTCTTCTACGAGGGAGGAGGACCGCCTCTCCGAGGCTTCTCCCGCTCAGGCTTGTGTGTGTTTTGTGTGTGTGTGTACCTTTTTTTGACTCGCGTCGGGGTTTGGAGGGGAAGAGAGAGACCGAGGAGGAGGAGGAGGTTGCGCTCGAGCAAGGTCCCACCGACCCGGTGGCTTCTTTCTCTGGAGAGCCCGCTTGAGCGCAGCTTTCCAAAAGGAGAACGTGGACCAGTCCCCTTCCTCAGTCGGCGAGACCCTCTGGAGAAGAAGGAGCCCAGGAACGTTCCGCTTTGGAACGTTGGGACATGGTCTGATTTGCTTTTGGAACGTTTGGAACCGTTGTTCTTGCGCCCCCCCCCCCAGTAAAATATGGGGAAAGCCCCTCTTTTCCCGCTTCACGATGAGTGACAGACGACAGTAGGGGTGCCCTTTGTGCAAAATAGCTCTAGTTTTGCACCTTCAAGGCAGACCGGGTGGGGTGGGGTGGGGAGCTATTAAAACGAGACTTCCAAGCTGCACACTTCGAGCTTCTCACGCTAATCCTCGCCTCCCCCATCGGCCTCTCTTCTGGTCAGTTTCCCAGGTAGCGTTTGCACAGCGTTGGCTGAGCTTCCATTGTGGAACCTTCTCTGCCCTTTCTCTTCTTTGTTAATAGAGGAAGAGAACGTGTTTTCCTTTCGCCTTCTGCGGACAGTTTTCTGCACAAGGATGGAACGAAAAACAACCACCTTCAGACGACTTTTACCTTTTTAAGTTTCTCCCAAATTGGGAGTCGGCTGCTACTTTCTGCCTAAGGTGGAAAGAAGCCAGTCGGTTTATGGGTGAAAAGTTCACAAGCCTCTGAATCGCGGCGGGGGGTGGGAGGGAGAGCAGGTATAGTTTCCCGGCTTATAACCGATTCACCTTGTTTCTGTTCTTTGCCCCCTCCCACCCCAGCAGACCCTTCCCCTTTCCAAGGAGAGGGAAAGCAGTCGTGAAAGAGTTAATGCATTACAGCTGCTCTCCGGGTTTCCGAAAGCAAACAAGCTGCGCCCAGCAGCGACAGGCCGAGCCCTCCTTTCTTCTGTTGACTTTTGTGTCGGGCTAACTTTTGGCAGCGGGGCCGATCCTGGCTGCCTAATCAGGCAGGCAGAGACTGTACCTGGCCGGAACTGCTGGGGACGCGCAGACTCCACTGCCCGGACGTAAATAACTTTGTGTGTTGCAAGCGCCTTTTACGCTTTTTCTAGCCGAGGCTTTGTTTCTGGAAAGGTGGTGATTAAGGGCCTTGGGAAGTCATCTGAAGGTTTTTGCAGAACTGGAAAAAAAGCAAGTTGACAGCAACAAAGCGAAATGCAGAAAGTCCCAACAAACCTGCTTGCCCAGTTCAAAGGACGCGCAGACACATCCGAGAGGAAGGGCTGCCTTTAACCATTTCCTTCGGCTTCCAGGGAGAAAGCTACTGTTCAGCCTGTAGCGAAAGCGATGCACATAGTTCCCCAGTTTTATTGTCTACATTTCTTTGGACCCTTTCGGTTGTCACCAGCAATGTTTGATCTGCATGCAGGCAAGCAGGATGTCCTAATCCATTTCTGCTGTGTGCATTGTTAGCTTTAGAGAGGAGCAGCAACTTTAAGGGTGCAATACTTTGCACACATTTATGTGGAAATAAATCCATGGGATTACTTCTGACTGGGTTGTGCTGTAAAAGACTGGTCTTGAAAGGGATATATTTTATGCAAAAAGCTATTACAAGCTCAGCTTTCAAAGGCAGTCTTATTTTTTTCTGCCCTCCCTCCTCTATTTTGGCAGGACTTTTTGTAAATTGATTGAATGTTTTGGGTTGGAAGACTTCCGGGATTAGAACTGTCCCTATTTGCCAAAGTTGGAAGTCTATTTTTATTGTAGGTGATACATTTCACAAATGCAAATGAAAAGTGTGGGTGTTTGATATACATCTTGTCCATGTTTTCAGAGCATCTGATCTGTCTTCCTTAGAAATCAAAACTTTTCTGCTTCTTGTGCCCTTGGGCATGGAAAGCAAAAGAAGTGGGGCTGGGTTTCACATCTGTTTACATGTTGCACACGCCTCCTACACAAAAGCACTTTGTCTTTATGCCTGTCTCT